CAATCCTACTTCTGTAGTGATACTGCCTCGGAAACCCAAGGAGGGGTCGCTATGAGTCGGGGCCGACTCGACGGCACATAACAACAACAACAAGAAGAAATGAGTAACTGATTCAAAACACTAAACACTGAACATCTCCCCCTCCCATCATCCAGACTCACTAATAAAGACACAATCTCTGGCTTTATTCACTGCTCTGTGCAGCCTGGTCCTAACATCCCTCCTTTCCCCAGCATTCCCCTTTCCTCCACTGAACATTCTATAGTCCCCTCAGGGAATCACAGGCCTTCCATCTCCTCTTTCCAGATCTCTGTACCTCCCCCATCCTTTTAGCCTGGAAGACCTCTCTTTATCTGCAGGGGGTCCCTTTCCTGTTCTTGTTGGCTAGGTGACTATCAGTGTCCCCTGTGTGGATTAATAGCACCACCACCTCAGCCACTTGTGGGTGGGGCCATGTTTTGCTCAGTGCCTTGGGGCATCATGCTTTGTACTCAGCACAGGCTCTCCATAAATCATTATTTTTTTAAAAAGCACACGTTGGCTCTTAATTTTTATTCTAAAGATCAGCATAAGCCAAGGATACATGAGGCCATCTAGCTCCGGTGTTTATTTTTAAACTCTTTTTAAGGGGAATTTAAACACACAAATTTAAAAGATGAATCTAACTCCCATGTGCCCAAGGCCAACCTTATAACTAAACATTTTTAAGAAAATCAGTTTGTATTACATGGCTCTCCAACCAGGGCTTGTTGACAACACAGGTCTTGATGGTTCACAAAAAAGAGAAGCTATGATTGAACTAAACTGAACCAGATTACTACTCTACTGTACTTGTAATGGGAGCAACTGGTATCAAAATAGACCTGTGTTAGGCTGGGCAGTGAAGATAAGACACCCCGAACAAACATCATTTGGGGATTACACAATTTATCAGATGGGTTGAAACTAAGAATCAAAAGTTCCTAATGAAGGGGTAGAAATCTAATTCTGAAAAGCAGCTTCCCGACAGGTAAGGACTCTGGCAGAATCACGATGAAGCCCTTGGTCCATGGCTCTAAATCATCATCCATCAGTCCTATCTAAACCCTCAACCACCAGAGAGAGTAACCTTGGTGCTTCAGGGTAAGTGAAAACTGCACCGTCAGGAAGGAATCAAAATTAAATTAGTGCTAATAAATAAGCACATGTAAGCTCATAGTTGTTTACGTGTATGATCAGTGTTAGTGTTACATGTACACGTTGAGTATTTAACCTACTACGTAGGTCTGGTCTACTTTTTACGATGTTAAAGCATTTAAGATAATTCCCTATATTAAACTTGGGGATATTAATGGAATGCTTAGAAGTATTTAAGTTGACAATGTTTAAACATTTGGAAAAATGCCAATTGTTAAACCTGAAAATTTTCATTTGTTAGTTGTGATAACAGTCTGTACACATATTTAGAAAGATGTTAATTATTTGAAGAACTGTTCACTTGATAAATTTTTAAGATTAATACATCGATCACTAAATAATGCATGAAAAGTTGTAGTTTTTTTCCCTCCACACTGAGCTCCTGGGACATAAATGATCTTAGGACACTTCCAGGAAGTGAGGAATGTATGTGCCCTTTTCGCTTGTGGACTCGGAGGGCTGTGGCCAAGGATGGCTGAGGAAAAGAATGGGAGAGATTGTGGAGCTATTCTCTAGCTTGCTAAGAAGCCCCTTCCAGTGAGGGTTTTAATTACTTGCAACTTTATCACCGGCTTTCCCATCCTACCCCACTTCCATGCTGGCGCTTGACACGGGCTGCATAATGGAATCTCCTACTGATGCCTGGATCCTAACACCACCACCCCCGCCAGATTCTGATTTAGTTCTTCTGGGGTGCAGTCTGGCATGAAGACTGTTGGTAACTCCCCGGCTGATTCTAATGAGAACCACTGATCTAACTGGTCACTTCTTCTTTCCCCTTTAGAATTATTATTTTTTAAAATTTTTATTGTAATTTGGGTGAAAGTTTACAGAGCATCCCCTTTAAAATTTTACGTGTCTACTTATCCATGACCATGCCTCCCCTCTCCTACTAGTGGGTGGGCTCCCAGATGGCCTTCCGGATTATGCATGTGGTCCTTCACATCTCCACGTGACACCAAGTGCTCCCAGCTGACAGAAGTAGCAGAGTTGCATTTTACTTGGAATGTAGGGTCTCCTGCCAATACTTACAGCCTCAAATGAGTCAAAAATCACCCTTCACAACCCCTCAAGAAGGCACCATCCTGAAGCTTAATGCATTGGCTCCATATCATTCCACTTAGACAGTTTCCTTCCAGGCCAGAACAGAAAGCTGCCTCCTCCACCAGGCACCAGAAGAAGTAGGTGGTTGTTTTTAGGGGCCACCTTGCATAGAAAAATACCCATTTTAAACACAAGCCTCACCCTCAGCACTGCAGGATGTTCATGCCACTAACAGCCCACAAGCACAAGAGTGACCGACCCTCCAGGAGACACACATCTCCCGGAGGACACCCACGCCCAAGCATATGGTCCTTACATCCAACAGTGGGTGGGGCCACCCACCACTTCGACTTTTTTTTGCTAACGGGGAGAAGTGAATTCATGTGATCTCTTGTGTGAGCAATGTCCCTCCACCGCACAATCATGGCCAACACAAGCAGGCCCTCCCCTTCCTTGTATCTGCCCCACAAGCAGCTGGCCCACAGACCCTCCTTCACTGCCTCAGCCTCTCCCCCTTTTAAAGGCTGATGTTCCCTGGGATTCTGGCTTTGACACTTCTCATTAACTCTTCTCCCTTGGGGCTCTCAGTCCTGCTTAGGGCTCCAGAAACTATTTAAAAAGTGACCCTTCCCTCTCCTTAGAGGAGATGGCTCACTCAAGAGATTTCCCCATTTTTGCTTTGGTGCTAGGGTAGGGAGAGGGTAGAGAAAGACCTTGTCCAGGCCTTGGGGGCTGGGCTTGCAGGTACAAAGAAACACAGGAAGTTGTGTTTCCCTTCTGGACTTTGGGCACTGTCCAAAAAAGCCCAATCCTTTTTTTTCTTCTGAGTGAATGAATGCATGATGAAAATGGGACTTCCTATCTCTCACCAAGAACCCTCCTCTCCTCTTGGATGTATGTGGAGGCCCAGATTATACCTGCTTGTCTGAGATCCCAGGACAGGCTCTGCCACACCAAGCCACACCAAGCTCAGCAGTGCTCATGGGCCTTTAATCTGTAACCGCCCGGCTACTTTCCGTCACCGCCCTGGGACAGTGGGGAAGGAGGAAGATGACTGGCTAGGTTGGCCCAAGCCAGCTCAGAGTACAAGATGGAAAGATTAGGGTCAGGCTGAGGCCTGGGCACAGGGCTCTTGGCCCCAGGCAATGAGGGAGTTGCTGGCCTGGGCAAGCTCAGTGATGGACACCCGGCCCCGCTGGCGGATGAAGTTGGCCACGGCAGCCAGTTCCTCTGGGGTTATGTAGATGAACTTGCCCCGGTCGTCAATCACACCTGTGGGGACATGCAGGTTGTAGGATGTGGGGCTGAGCCCTCCTGGGCCCTTCCTGCCTGTCCTAAGAATGCCCACCCACCCCTTCACAACCAGCTCAGATCCCTCTAGGTCCCTTGCCTGCCTGACCTTAACTGGCTGCACCTGAGCCTGGCTAGGTGTGTTAAACCAGGCTTCATTGCCTGCCTCCATCACCCAACAATTATCCCCAGGCCTTGCCACGTCTTCCTTGTAACTGCATCCCCTGCTCACTGTTCCTTACTTATACCTCTACCCCAGGAATGGTCAACCTGGCCCCCAGGACCAGGTGTCCCCTAGGAACCAGTCTCTGGAGCCTCCTGTTGTCCCTGGAGTGGCTGATTCTCGTTCTCTTACCTGTCAGAGTCCCCTCAGCCAGCAGATCCTGGATGCGGCTTATGGTGTCCTACGAGGAGAAGAGTTTTCAGAGCACAGGCGGGGGCTGCTGTCCTCAAAAAAGCAAGAACCTGCAACCTTCCTCCCACCACAACCGTACCTCCTCCTTTCTTTTTCACAGCCACACCCCAATGGGACCCTGTGCTTCTCCCTTGGAGAAGTCCTGGGGAAAAGGAGCTCTGGTCCCCAGGCCCTGCAAGACCCCTAAAAGGCTCTCTTCCAGCCAAGATGGGAGTGGTAATATTTGGCCATCAAGGCTGGCCCAGCCTGCCTGTAAAGAGCTGTCAAGGTTACTGGGATTGGGATGCTTCGGTTATAGGGGATGGTGGGGAGTGACAGGGTTTAGACTTCTTTTTTCCTCCCTGCTTGAGCTCTAGAGGCATAGTGGATAAGGCATTTGGCTGCTAACCAGAAGGTCAGTGGTTCAAACCCACCAGCCACTCCACAGAAGGAAGATGGGGAAATCCACTTCAGTAAAGTTTCTGCCTCAGAAACCCAATAAGGGTTGCTATGAGTCAGAATCGACTTGATGGGAGTGAGTTTGGGTTTTTTGATTTTTGTTCTTCCATCTACTAGAATGGTGGGATTCCTACATGACTTATTCTTGGTTGACGGTAGGATGGAGGGGGCAGCGAGATTCCTCACCTTCAGGACATGCTCCCTCTGCTAGTCACATAGACTGCAGGGCCACATTCCATATAGTGGACCACCTCCCAGGGCTTACCTGAGTCCGCAGGCCCACATGGGAAGCCAGGTCTTCCAAGAGCACCACCTTGGACTGCTACAAGGAGAAGGAGAGCAAAGGAGAGAGGTGAGCTTGGGCCAATTCTTGTCAACATCAGTACCCCCAGTAAGTTTGCATTCTACTCTGATCTAGTCTGGGTGCTAGAGTGATACTGTGTGCATCCTTGTGGGAGAGCCTGGCTCCCATCACCAATGCTCACACACTCACAGTCACCCAAATACAGAGAGACACACACATTCATACATTCCCACCACCTTGCTTACCAGGAGTGATCTACCTAAACTTACCACCTGCCCTACAGGCCCTGGTCTGGCCTGGGGACTACTCTGAGAGACACACAGACACACACACACACAGTGTGTGCTACACACAGCTGCCACCTTGTCTCTGCACCCAGCTGTATCTTTTTAACATCATACACAAGCTAGATAGGGAAGCAGAATAGAGATAAAGAGAAAGCAGGTAACAGCCACCAAGTTATTTTAAAAAGCTGTCACCACACATGAAGCTCAATTGGCATAATAACACTACACAAAAACATTGTTCCATATCCTACTTTGGCAAGTAGCAACTGGGATCTTAAAAGCTTGCATGCGGCCATTGAGATGCAACGATGGGTCTCTCCTCATCCATAGCAAAGAAGAATGAAGAAAACCAAAGATGTATGGAAACAATTGTCCAGAGCAACTGGTACACACGCGATCCTCAGCCTGTATGACTATGAGAGCAGAAGAACTAGATGGTGCCCGGCTACCACTGTCAACCACTTGGAAGGGGATCTATGTAGGAGATCCTAGATAGAGTGGGAAAACAATGTGGAACAAAAGTCAAAATCATAAAAAAAGAAAATAAAAGGGACCAGGTTTGCCGGTCGGATAGAGCCTGGTGAAACCCCTGGGACTACGGCCCCTAGCTGCCCTTCAGGTCTGAAACTGAACCCATTCCTGTGGGTTCCAGCCAAACAAAAGACAACCATATGAACTGAACATTTACATTAGGTAGATACGCTCCTTGGAGAGATCAATGATGGGAGACTAGAAGGGCTGTGTATGCACAGGGAGACAGCTCAGAGGGTAGCAGTGCATGGGAGGGATGGACACAGGGAAGAGGTGACTATGGGGAGGAAGTGGGAAGAGAGCTGTTGCATTGTGGGAAACTACAGTCGATGTCATGAGACACAATGTATGTGAACTGCTGTATGGAAAATGAATTTGCTCTGTAAACTTTCACCCAAATCACAATAAAAATTAAAAAAAAAAAAAAAAGCTGCCACCATGGACTTGTGTTTTCTGAGGATCTGCCAGGACAAGGCCCTGCAATGTGGGGTGTGCAATGGTGAACATAACAGCTCATGCTCCTAAGCTGAGCCTGGCTGATGGGACACGCCAGTCTACGGATAAGGAAGCCAGGGTCTTTCGGGGGGCACACTTATTCCTGCCTTTGCTCGCCCTTACCCTGGCCCTGGCCTGAAGCTGCCACAACCCTGACAAACCCACATTTCTTTTCACTCATCCTTTTCACACCATCTGATGCACTGAGTGCACCCTTAAAATAACTAACACCTCTAAGTACTTTCCATGTACAGCCACATCCCAGGTGCTTCCTCACACTCTCAGTAGAACCTGTTTCCAGGGGTACAGGCAATGGTTCACTGCAGGGTCCTACACATGCATCACCTGCCCCCCAACCCCCGACAGCATGACTCAAGAGAAGAAGGTCTTTTGTGTTTCCGTGTACTTTCCATAGCAAACGAACTGGGGGAGGAGCAACGCGGTGACACCTCCCTGGCTGCAGATGGCATGTGACTCTCTGAAATGCCAACCCGTCTGTGCAATCAGGGAGGCGAGTGAGCTGCAGTGGGGCCAGGAAGTGGGTGAGCACAAGGTAACCTGGCCAGCTGGCCTCTACCGACATGGCAGGGAGCAGGCTCTGGGCTCTCAGTGACAGCTCAGAGCAGAAACATGGAGTCCCCGAGAACCTGGACCAAGATTTTGCTGGGGCCAAAAGTAAACCAACTCAACCATAGTCAGAAAGGAGAGTGGACTGACAAGAGCAAACTCTCTGCAGACCTCAGGTATACTCTGCTGGGCATGGGAATGCCCTGAAATCCTCGGAGCCGGGAGGCGGCGGGGAGGGCAGCAGCTCCAGGAGAACCAACCAGCACAGGCTGGATGTACCTCTAAGCTCCAGATGTTTGGAGAACCCTAGAGCATGGCAGCTGCAGGAAGCCATCAAAGAGACTACTAGAATCCCCTGGGGGCCCTTTCCACCTAGGAGGGCTTCCAGGGATTCAGAGCCACGTTGTTGCCCACTGCGTAGATGGGGACTGGGAGTTGCAGAAAGCATTAGGAAATCAAATGATATCCTGCCAAAGACTGCGGCCCCTGATACAGCGTTCCAGGGAAAATAGGCTCCACGGGGGGAGTGCTCAGAGCTTGGGGGAACAGGATCCTCTGGAAGCTGCTGGTGTAACCCCTTCTCAGGAACCCCCAGCCCAGGCTGTGGGCCCAGGTCCCCACTGCTGGGAGGCAGCTAAACCCTGCTCTCTTGGTGGGGGTGAGGGGAGGATTATGCAAGCCCTGGCTCCTTGGCACCCCCTAGTACCACCCCCAGCCTCGCCCCCGTTCCCGCTGCACTCTTTCCCTCAGCCGCCTCTGCACCTCTGAGCTACACTTGAAAACCTCTCCCCTCAACGCATCTTTCGTGGGAGAGGAGAAGTTGCTTAGCAGCAAGGCAAAGCAAGACGTGCTTATGCAACCTGGAGCAACATCCGGGCCGCCTGCGCTGAGGCGGTGGACAGAAAGGGACACACCTGCCACCCCGCCCTAGATTCCAAAGGAAACACCATGCTGTTTCCCCTGGAAGACCCAGATCTCAGTCAGGGCCACATGGCAGGGGACACTTGTTTTGACTTGTGGAGCTTCAGTCTGACAGAAGTGACAGGAAATACATGTGAAAAAGCTCAAAAACACAGTGAGTCACTGAGCACGGGTCTGAAGAGCTGTCAAACACTGAGAGTGAGGCACGAGCAAAGGTTTATGCTACCCACACAGACCGGTCCTTCTTCCCCTTTGAGGTCAGAAAAGAAAGGGCTCTCCTGGCCAGGACGTTGCAGCTCAGCTTCTTTGGTTGCCCTGCCCACTCCTGCACGTGCCGGAGTGAAACACCCACAGCCTCTGCTCAGATCCTCTCTCTCTAGGCCCCAAAGAGAACATCTACAACATGTATGCAAGGGCAGGGAGCTGGTCCTGGGCCTCTGCTCTGCAGGTTCTTACCTTAATGTAATTGATGAAGTCTGTCAGGAAGCTGTGGGACTAGAGGAACAGAAAAATCAGGGTGAGTGTCTCCCTTGCAAGAGGCTGCAGGGCCTGTGCCTTCCCACCTGACTATGACCACCACCTGAGTGCCATCTATTTGTTCGCCCAACCACCTGGGGTGCCACCTACAACCTGCCTGCATGGGCAGGTGCATGGTGAAGGTTTTGTAGCACCATGCTCTAAGGACAAGGCCTCGGGCCAACAGAGCCTGCTGGTACTGATACCCACCCACCTCTTTTACTGCCTAGCCAGAGTGTGTGGGATAGGATGGCCAGCCATGGGCTGACCTAGCCCCCAGCTCCTTGGTGTGTACAGGGAGAAGTTTCCCAGGCATGCTGGACCTACCTGTTCCTCTGTCATGGTCTCACTCACGCCCTCCTCCTCCACCACAAAAGCCTCCTTCAGTTTCAGGTACTCCTCATGCTCCCGCTGGGCCTGCTCCTCCCGGGCCTTCCTCTCTTCCTCCTCCTGTGGACACAAAGCAGCCAAAAGTCAGGTATTTGGGGGCAGGGTGCCCTCTTCTGGGCCCTCCTGTCCCACAGGATACCAAAGGTAGGCCAGCCCTTTCTCAGGGCTCAGAACCTTTAAGACCCTGACCTCTACCCTCTCCAAGCTGAAGAGTAGGCAATGCCCCTCTTCTCATCAGTTTCATGACTACTACTTTTTTTTTTTTTTAATTTTTATTGTGATTTGGGAAATGTCTGGTTTCTTGTTTTGTTTTTATACTTCTGCATTAAGAAACTGACTAATAAAAACGCAAGATATTTGGTTTAAAAAAACCCCAAAAACCCTGCATGACCCTATAATGTCCCCACTTTCTACCCCATCATGCCCACACTTCTTGAACAAACACCAAGGTCCATTTCTTCACCACCTTTTAACCTTCCACTCCAATCTGACATTCCCTGTTCCACCAAAACTCCTCCTATGACAGTGTCACCAATGCCCTCCTTCTCACTAAATCCAAGGGACACCCTTCAGGACTCATAGCCCCGTCCTCTCACTGGTGTAGGGCACAGAGGCTATCCGTGCCTTTCTCTGTTGGCTCCTAGGCTCCCAGTCTCTCCTGGATTTCCTCCTGCTTCCTGGGCCATTTGTTCCTACCTCCTTCATCACTCAGCCTGGGCCCTTCCGTCCTTTCCTGTTTCCCTGGACACCTTACCCATACCCACAGCATCAACAATCATATTCTTGCCAATGACTGTCATTGTACTCCGGCCCAAACCTCTCCTCCCAAACACAGCCCACGTGACACACACACTTGGCTGTCTCACGGGCACCTCAAATTTAGCATGTCCAAGACAGAGCCTGTGACCCATTCCCCACGTTTGGTCCACCTCCTTAGTTCCTCACTCAGTGAATCACACTGCCATCAGCCATCTGCCCTGGTCAGAAATGATGTCTCATCTTCCTTTCCCTCTTTGGTATCCTGAAAGCTTCTTAATCTGTCTACTTCACTCATCACCACTTACTGCAACAATCTCCACCAACACAAATCATTTTCCAAAGCCCTCAGAAAGGTCTCTCAGAATATCTCTATATAAAGCTAAAGCTGGGCAGAGGATATATAACATGAACCCCGAGCATCTTGTAGTGCCAGAAAGTAAATGTACTAAAAAAACATGATGGGAGTAATGCCAAATGGACACAGATATCAACTTAAAGAGCTCCCCAAGCTGGAATAATTTGTGCAAAAAAATGAACGATAACCAACCCCTTATTTTCTTTGTTTTTTTAGACATAAGCAAAAGTCTAAAATATCTGTAAACACATATGGACATAACGATTAAGTAAGTAAATAAATAGGGAAAAAAGACAAAGGTCCTGGAATGAAGATTTCCAAATAATTTATGTAGCTATTCTCCACTCAAGGAGGTGGAACATAACCCCCTACACTTTAAGTGTGGGCTTCGCCTAGTGACTTGTTTTCAAAGAGCAAAGTATGGAAAAATCTATTGCCCTCGAACTGATTTCAACTCACAGCAACCCTTTAGGACAGAGTAGAACTGCCCCGCTGGGTTTCCAAAGCTATAAACCTTTACGGAAGCTAACTGCCTCATCTTTTTCTCTCAGAGCAGCTGATGGGTTCAAACTGCTGACCTCTTGGTTAGCAGCCAAAGGCTTTAACCACCATGCCACCAGAACTCCTTACAGTATGGAAAAGAGGGGGAGAAAAGAGTAACTTGGGAATGGAGAAACCGGGCAAACACAATCTCAGTTAGGTGATCTAGAGTAACATCATTAGTGTTAAGTCAAATTGATAACATGTATCCTTGATATGTTGTGTTGAGAAGGGCACTTCATCTCTATGGTCTTCTTTCCAGTCTAACTGTGAGAAGAACATCAGCTGAACTCAAATTGAGGCACATTCTACAAAGAACTTGACCAGCACTCCTCAAAACTGTCAAGGTCATCAAGAAACCACAAAATCTGAGAAACTGTCATCCCAAAGGAGCCTAACAAAGCACGACAGCTAAATGTCACAGATCCCAGATGGGACTCTGGAACAGAAAAAGGGCTCTGGGGAAAAATTAGTAAAATTTGAATAAAGTATGGCGTTTAGTTAATTAACATGCCAACACTTATTCATTAGTTACGACAAATAGACTTTGTAAAATGTTAATAAACAGAGAACTGGTAGAGGGGGAAGAGCCCCAGGATGAATATTAAAGGTGCAAAAGGCAAGATTTGGGAGCTCTGGTAGCATAGTGCCTAAGGCATTTGACTGCTAACCAGAAGGCTGGTAGTTCAAATCCACCAGCCACTCCTCGGAAGGAAGATGGGGCAATCTACTTCTGTAGTTGATACTGCCTCAGAAACCCAAGGAGGGGTCGCTATGAGTCGGTCCGACTTGGCGGCGCATAACAACAACAACAAGGCAAGATCGATGTTCAGAAAGGCTAAAACCCTCTCTGCTAATGTGCTCATGCTGCCCTCCGCGGTGCTCTGGCCCATCTGCTACAGAACCCAGGGCCTGGCTGCCTGCCATCCAGGGTCCCTGGACTCGAGTCACAGATGTCAGCCTGTAGGCTCTTCCTAACTAAGGAAGCCCTGGCTTTCACCCTATATACCCCACATCTTTGTGGTGCTCCCTTCCTTGGGCACCTTGTTCTGAGACTGGAGGAAGACACTGGCAAACGCTCATGAACTGCCATCACTGCAGCAGCCCGCAGGCCCTGGGCAGCCCCTGCATGGCAGGCCCTGTACTAGACACAGCACAGGGAGGGTCCACTGCCTCTTACAAGGCCTCAGTAGCCTCAAGGGCCTCAGGATCCAGACCTGCCTTACTGTGCTGAGCCTTTCTCCTCCTCTCCTCCTGCTTACTCTGCTCTAGCCACTTGGACCACCACCTCAGTGCCCTTGAATCCAGGCATGTGCAATAAACCATATGCACAGGAATCCCAGTGCCTGGCTCTCCTTCTCAGAAACCTGACTTAAGGCAGCCAGCTCTCCACAGGCTTTGTCTGCACCTGATCCTTGGCCCATCTTCGAGGCTGGAGGTACTGGGGGGCTGCATGGGAAGCAGGGCTGGCCAGTCAGGGATCAAAGGGATCTACCTCACCTTCTGCTCCTCCTCTAGGCGAAGCCGCTCCTCCTCCTTCCTCCACTCTGCCTCACGCTGGGACTCCAGGCGCTTCCGTTCCTCACGCTCCGCCTCCTCTGCCTGGAGAAAAAATCTGGTTGCCATAGAGTTGATCAACCCTGAGTCATGGCAGTACCATGTGTGTCAGAGTAGAATCAGCTTTCCAATGGCTGATTTCCTCACAAACAGATCACCAGGCCTTTCTTCCGCAGTGCCTCTGGGTGGACTCAAACCTCTAGCCTTATGGTTAGCTAAATACGTCAATCTTCTGCACCACCTAAGGAGAGAGGCTTTCACAGAGGACACATCCCCTACCCTTAGCTAGAGCATGCCCACCTCTGAGGCTGGAGAAGGCAATGCCTGGGCCAGGCCAGAGAATGAAGCTGCAGGAAGCAGAGCCAGGCAAGCCCAGGGAGGGATGGCCCTTTGGGGAAATTTATCCTGGGATGCAAGGAGCCCCAAGGGAAGGTTCTGCCACAGGGACAGGTAGGCAAGGACAGAGCTGCACCCCATCCTTCACTTGCCTCACGCTGGGCTTTTCGCGCTTGTTTCTCCTCTAGCTTCCGCAGTTTCTTGGCTCCAATTTTCCCTGACAGGTGACTTTCCACTGGCTTCTCAATGTCTTCTTCTCCCTGGGCTGGGAATGGTCAGAGAAAGAGGCTTCAGGCCCTGGTGAGAGGGGACCAACATTCTTTCTTCATAGAGGAATCCCCTTCACACCCTTGTGAGTATCACAAGCCCAGCTCTACCCTCCAGAAGCATCTGCTATGAATGCAGAAATCTGTACTATTGAGTGAGTGTGTTAGGGGAAGGAGAGGGCTCAGAGGCCATGGAGTAAAGGGACAGATGAGAACTTTAGATGCTGTATAGCCATGAAGAGGGAGACCCAGGGTTCTAGTGTCCAAGAGTCTAAAGATCAGACAGGACTGTCTGGGTTTTCAGAGGTCTCTGGTTTCTGTCTGTGAGCCAAACCCCCAGGGAAGAATGGCCCCTGGGAAATTTATCCTAGCCAAATCTAAGTCCTCTTCACTGTAGTCAGGAGCTGAGGGTTCTAGGCTCAGGCCCTGGCCATGGTTATCCTTTCCTGCCAGCAGGCCCTGGTCAAAAGGACAGCCCTGGCTCAGGACTATCCTAGGACTAGTGGAAAGGTAAAGACCAGGTAATGTCTGAGCAGCAAGACGTCTGACCCCATGTCTGAGGTAAGAGGAGTGGCAAAACAGAAAGCCTCTTTTTGAGCCAAAGGGGCTAATCCCCAAGGTACAAGGGAAAAGACTCCAAATGCCCTGTTTCTGGGAAAGGGCCAGGTGTCTTCTTCTCAGGCTCAAGCCAGCCATTAAGTACTTGAAGAAGGTGCATTCTTTCTGCAGTGCAGAGAATTGCTTGGTATGGCTCTTCTAGCCATGGTCTTTGTGACTCCCACAAGATGACTGGCTAAAACTATGCAAATGTAAGGTCCACCAAAGGGAATGGACAACTTACTAAGAATGCAGATAAGATATATGGTTGCCTTCTGGGGGTGGGACTGTGCAAATAAGGAAAACACTAATGTGACAAGGTCAGTTTTGTCATCTTGCTAGGCTTAAAATGAGTCCTCCCAGAGGCAGCAAAGCAGGATCTCACTGCCGCTGAGAGAAGAGCCTGAGGTGAAGGGGAGTATATCCTTGCACCCAAGATCCCTGTGCTAGACCTCCTCAGCAAAGAGATGGCAGGAAGATGACAATGAGATGGTGGCAGCTGAACCAAGAGACCAGCACAAGACAGAGCAGCAAGACTGCTGGCCCATGAGTGAAAAAGCTGAGTGCCTGTGGGCAGGCGGGTTGCTGGTGGAGTGGGATGCAGAACTAAAAGAGCTTTTTAACACTTGCCCGAGCAGGGCAGAGGCCAGGCTGAGAGGCCAAGGGCCAAAGAGAAGTGTGCCTGCAAGCATAGCAGAGGAGGGGCTGTCTTGTTCCAAGAATTCTATCCTGAGCATTCCTGAACCTGAACTGTAACCTATTACTTACCTAATAAGCCCCATAATCATGAGTATGGTCTGTGAGTTTTGTGTGGCCATTGCAATGAATTATCAAATGCAGCAGAGGGCGCAGCAGAGAAGTGGAGAGTGCCATGGGAGGGATGATTGGTGTCAGAATTGGTTAAAAAAAAAAGGTTGACCCTCTGTTTCACAGGGGTCAGCCTGGACTGATGCCGCTGATGTTGGTTATATCTTCCCCTTGTGAAATCAGAGGAGGGCAGAGGACACTGCATGTGAGCCCTTACTGAACTTTCTCATAATCCTAAGGGCTCTGCTGGTCTCCCAGCACAGGGGAGATGGAGGCCTATGGGTCTCTACTCCCCAATTCCTCTTCTGAAGTTACAGGTGACAACATCCCAGTATCTGCAGAAGCTCCCAGTCAGGCACTCTGGCCCTAGGGCAAGGTCCTCAGGGAACAAGTGTGCCCACACCAGCATACTCCCCTCCCCATTCACCCCCCTTCCTCACCAGGCTGGGCCCCTCTCACCTGGGATGACTGCCTCTTCCTCATTCTCATCCACCTCTGCCTGGGCCACCCGCTGGGCTCGACGCTGGGCCAGCAGGCGGCTGCCCAGGTCCCTCCGGCGCCGGGGTCTGCCCTCAGTTCTCTGCTCCCCAGGCTCTAGGCGCCCAGGCTGGGCCTCTTGGCCTGCTACACCTGGCTCCTCTTCATTGTGCTGTGGCTCTTGGGCAGCTAGAGGGAAGAGAGGAACCATGATAGTGCCCAGCTGCCTGGCCCACCTGATGGCAGGAAGGGCAGTATTCTGGGAGGCTCATCTTCTTTTGCTCATCCTCCTCCCAGGCTCTTGCTGCCCACAGAACAAAGCCCAACCTTGCATCTTTGCAATCTGACCACGGAGGCCTTTACAACCCAGGCCAACACCCTGGTTCTCGGCAGCAAGCTCACCTACCTATGGTGATACCTTCCGGTCAGCCCCACCTTTCCGGCTGACTTGTCAGTACTTTCCATGCCTTGCAAAATGGAGCTAAGGCCCTACCTTCTCCAGAAAACCCACCTGGCCTCTCCAGACCTCACCCAAATGCCCAATGCATTAGTTCATTGGTTTCTTGCCTTATGTTGTTTGCCATAATTTTATCTAGCACTCCAATCAGAGTCTACTTGCTGGCAGGAGCTGAGTCTCCCTTCCAGGAAGGCTTTTTGGCTACCTGCCTTACCTCAGCATCCCTTTCCCCTGCCCTTGGGGCATGATGGTGCTCTGAAACAGCCCGTGGTCCAAGGGTGGAGGAGAGACACAAACACAAACCCATATACCCACAAGAAAATGGCAGGGAGGGAAAACGACAGGTGTATCTGCTCTGTGTCCTGGCGGATGACAGACACAGCTTCCGGTCTGGGTGCAACTGGTGGGATACAGAAAGGGGGGGAGAGGAGGCTAAGGGAGGGAGCATGGGTGCTTTTCTTAGGGTGGGCAGGGGAAAAGGGGGCTTCACAGAGCTTCCTGAAGAGGCCTCATGCTTCCTTCCAGCCTGTGGATAGGCAGAAAACATTCAAGTGTCCGTTCCCTGGCACCCTCTCTAGACCTAACTTGGAAGGAACGGGACGCTCTGCGGCCCCCAATGGGCGCAAAGGGGAATAGCCCAGAGGAAATGAGAGATGACAGTGGGTTATCGATCAAGACCTGGCCCCTCCGGGTATGCAGATCTAGAATGTAAGGAAGAGAGGAGCGAGCTGGGACAAGGCTCTGGCTTAAAGCTGGAAGAACAGCGAAGGTCTTCAGGACTGGGTTTTAGCACTGCGGTTCTCAACACGTCCCTCTTCGCGTGCACATATGCGCATGCGTACGTCTGTCTCACGGCCGCCAGAACGCTGTCGGACAACATCTTTGTCAGGCCCATCCGGCAAACACCTCCTCGAAAAGCACATCAAGCGCATGCGCAGGGGCCGCGGCGCGCCGGCATAGAAAGGTTCAGAGACCGTAAAACCGGGCCTCGCCGTCTATGGCGCAGCGGTATCTCCTACCTGCCGCCGCCCGGCCTCGGCTGCGAGTCAGGAAGAGGATAAGACCAACGAGCAGAGCTGCTGCTACCAGGTACACCACGGGAGCCACCATGACAGCAGCTTCCCGGCGGAACCAACGCCTCCACCCGGAGGCTCAGGATCTCCCAGGCCCCGCCCAATGCCCTTATGGCCCCTCCCAGTTCCCATTCTAGACTCCGCCCACCTGTCAGCCCCGCCCAGACCGCGCACCTTTTACTTCTTTGCCTTTTTTGCCCCATCAATTATTTTCCATGTCTTCATATGGTTTTTTAAAAAATATTTTATTGTAATTTTGGAGAAAATTTATATAGAAAATTCATTTCGCATTTAAAAATTGCTGTACAAAAGGACAAATATTGTACTAGTCCGTTATTGTGAAAGTTAAGGAAAGGTTTATATATTGGAGGACATTTTCTTTGTTGGTTACCAGGGGTGGGAGGGAAGGGGAGGGAATGCTGTTAGATAGATAGAGATAAATATTGATTTGGGTGAAGAGAAGGGCAATGTACCAAATGTGAGTGACCAATATGGCAGCATTGAGGATGAGAAAGACAGAGAGAGTTACATGGGCAGTACAAACAACAAATATGAACCCCTTTGTAAATACAATACTGAGTTGTCAATGAAAGCAAACATGGGTATAGGGACGGATAGATGGGTGAACAAGCTAAACAATTATGTATGTCTAAATGGAGAGTGTATCCAAGATCATATACAGGGTTGGCAGACAATGGGCCTCTCGAAGAGTATGAAGGGATGGACACTGGGAGGAGGTAACTATGGGGAGGAAGTGGGAGGGGAGCTGCTGCATTGTAAATTTTGGTCAATGACATGAGACAAAGTATATGTGAACTACTGTATGAAAAGTGAATTTACTCTGTAAATCTTCACCCAAATCCTAATAATAAAAAAAAATTGCTGTACACATTATTTAGGAGTTCTAGTAGCATAGTCCCTAAGGTACTTGACTGCTAACGAGAACACTGGAGGTTCAAACCCACCAGCCACTCTTAGGAAGATTGGGCAATCTAATTCCCTAGTGATACTGCTTGGGAAACCCAAGGAGGCATGGCTATGAGTCGGTCCTACTCCACAGCACACAACCACCACAACAACACACATTATTTAGGAGCTCTGGTGGTGTAGTGCCTAAGGCACTTGACTGCAAACCTGAAGGCTGGCAGTTCAAACCCACCAGCCACTCCTGGGAAGGACTACTGGGCAGTCTGCATCGGTAGAGATACTGCCTTAGAAACCCAAAGAGGGGTTGCTATGAGTTGCAATTGACTCTAGGGCAGTGAGTTTGGTTTGGATATACATTACCTAGTGAGTTGTTTGCACTTTTCACAATTGTCACCATTCTCATTGTTTACATTCTAGTTGTTCTGTCTCCATTATCCTAGCTTCCCTGTCTCCCCTTGCCTACTCATCTTTGGTCTAGGATAAATGTTGACCAGTAGGTCTCATTTTAGATGATTGTTTAGAGGAACACAATACTCAAGGGTGATAATAGGATATATTTTATGAACCATTCTGTCTTTTGGCTGATAGGTGACCTCCTGGAGTGGTTTGAATTCCAAGTTTAAAGAGCATCCCAGGGAGATAGTCTTGGGTGTTCCACTAGTCCCCACTGGTCCAGTACCAATTTTTTTATTAATTATATTTGTAACTCTTTGTATAATTTTGAAAAAATAATTCTTAATTTTTTACTTTAACCTTAGTTTTCGGGGCATAAAAAAATGTAGTGTTAAGTAGACATTATTGCAAATGATTCTGTGCTGTATGACAACATTTATGTATGTTTTAAAATCACTAAACAATATCACATAGTATTTGTGGAATCTAACATATTTAGAGCTCTGGTAGCATAGTGGCTAAAAGCACTTGACTGCTAACCAGAGGGCTGGCGGTTCAAACCCACCAGCTACTCCTCGGAAGGAAGGTTGGGCAATCCTACTTCCGTAGTGATACTGCCTCGGAAACCCAAGGAGGGATCGCTATGAGTCGGGGCTGACTCGACAGCACATAACAATAACAACAACAACAACATATTTAGATGCTTGAGAATGATATATGCCAATTTAGGGTAATGGTTACTTCTGAAGAGGGAGGAAGTAGGATGGGATTAAGAGAAGCACTTTGGCTATATCTGTGATATTTGATTTATTTAAAAGTGAGAGACCAAATCTTCCATTTAAATAAATTGTGATGTATTTTATTTACTCAGACCTGTAGTTTTATACAATTTTTTAAAATAATATTGGCTTTATTAGGTCATACAAGAATTTATGATCCAATTTTCCGTAACGAGCACTTGGTATATTCTGTCGGAAATTTAAATTTCTCTTTCATTTCTAAGAACATATATAAACCTGGGGATAAATTATACCTCAATAAGGCTGAATACTCCTTAGAAATGAGGATGATGAGGCTTCAGCTCACTTACTTTGGACACAGGCTCAAGAAAGACTAATTGCCAAAAAAGGAATCGTGTTGTAAAGTAGGTCAGTGAAAAGCAGGGAGACCCTCAGTGAGATGGATTGACACAATAGCTACAATGGTGGACTCAGATATACCAACAATCATGAAGATGGCGCAGAACCAATAAATGTCATGTTTTGTTACACTGTACGGGGGGTGGCCATGGCTCTAAGCCAAATGAACATCAATTAACAACAAAAAGTTGGAAAAAAAAAAGACAGGATTTTTTAAAAAGCAAATATCCTACTGCCATCAAGTTGATTCCGACTCATAACGACTCTATAGATAGAGAGAGTAGGACTGCCCCACAGGGAGGACTACCACATCTTTCTCCTATAGAGCAGCTGGTAGGGTTCAAACCACCAACCTTTTGGTTAGCAGCCAAATGCTTTAGCCATTATGCCATCAAAACCAAAACAAGCCCACTGCCCTTAAGTCAATTCCAACTCATAGTGACCCTTTTAGGACAGAGTATAACTGCCCTGTAGGGTTTCCAAGGCTGTAAATCTTTATGAAAACAGACTGCCTCATCTTTCTCCCATAGAATGGGTGGTGGATTCGAACTGCTGTTCTTTTCATTAGCAGCTGAATGCTTTAAAGACTCATCATCAGAGCTCATTACTATATTTCCAGAGCTCCTAAAAAGCAAGTAACTTTTGGGAATTTACTATTACAATAGAATGAAGCTGTGTGTGTTGACAGAAGTAAAGATTGCATGGAGTGGAAGGAAAAGAAGTCTGAAATATATATGTATGTGT